CTGGTGACAGTATGAAAAAAAAAAATATATATATATATATATATATTTTTTTTTTTTTTTATTATATTTAATTTTTTATTACATTTTTTTATATTTTTTTTAAGATTTTTTTTTCATATTTACTATGACCAAAGTAGTACAATGTTACCATAGTAACATTGTACTACTTTGGGGAAGTAATCAGTATTTTTTTTTTTTACACAATTTGCTTATAGCAAAGAATTACTTTGCTATAAGCAAGAATTTACCTGAATGAAATCGATTCATTCAGCTTTTTTTTTTTTTTTGTGCTTAGCTGTGATTTGGTCACAGCTAATCACATGACATGTGCATGTGATTAGCTGTGACCATTCACAGCTAGGCACTAGTATACAATGAATGGCATCATGAATGAAGCCATCCATTGTATACAACTGTCATGTGACCTGCTGTGATTGGTCACAGCAGGTCACATGGTACCAGCAACGGGAGCCGGTACTCGGATCTGTCATCGGCCGTGTCCGAGGTGCACAGCCCGTGACAGATCCCGCTGCTGCGCCGCTCTGCATTGCCGCAAACGGCGCATGTGCGGGAGCACGCCAAATGGCGTGCACCCGGAATGAAGAGGCACATCTGAAGCCGCCAAACGGCCATTGGCCGGGCGGCTAATGGTTAATTAGGCAACTATGTGGCAAATTAGGTTTAATGTTGATAAATGTAAGGTTATGCACTTGGGGGCTAAGAATATGCATGCATAATACATACTAGGGGGGTACAACTGGGGGAATCAATAGTGGAGAAGGATCTAGGAGTTATGGTAGATTGCAAGCTTACTAATGGCATGCAATGCCAAGCTGCGGTTTCTAAAGCGAACAAAATCCTCTCTTGTATTAAAAGAGGTATAGACTCCAGAGAGAGAGATATCATTTTACCCCGGTACAAATCATTAGTAATACCTCATCTGGAATATGCAGTTCAATTTTGGGCACCAATTCACAAAAAGAACATTGGGGAACTGGAGAAAGTACAGAGAAGGACAAATAAACTGATACGAGGCATGGAGGAGATCAGCTATGGGGAAAGATTAGAGGAACTGAATTTATTCTAATAATAATAATAATAATAATATTCTCTCTTGAGAAGAGGAGATTAAGGGGGGGTAGGATCAACATGTATAAATACATCAGTGGTTCATATAGTGAACTCGGTGTAGAGCTATTCACCCTGAGGTCATCACAGAGGACAAGGGGGCATTCTTTACATCTCGAGGAAAATAAATTTGATCTCCAAACATTGAAAGATTTCTTCACAGTAAAAGCTGTGAAAATGTGAAATAGAGACCTTCAAGAGTCTGGCCAGCTCAGTGGATCACTTTAAAAAAAGGCCTGGATTCTTTCTTGGATACACATAATATAACTGGATACTAACATTTATAAGTAAAGTTGATCAAGGGAATTTCCGGGGGATCAGGAAGAAATGTTTTCCCCTGCAGGAGCAAATTGGATCATGCTTTGCTGTTTTTTGTGCCTTTCTCTGGATCAACTGTGGGTGTAGAATTAGAACTTTTTTTTTTTTTAATGGTTGAACTGGATGGACTTTTGTCTTTTTTCAGCCAGACCAACTATGCAACTATGTGAGAAATGTGGATCGATCACAGCTCTCCAGGAACAAATGCAAAGCTTTTATGAATCAGATTGATTCATACAAGCTTTGTTGTAATTGTGATCACGTAGAGATCAAGTGATCACTGGATCCCGATTACCAGGAATATCATTCTGCTGTGTCCGGTGGACACAGCAGATGTGGGGGAGTAGGGTTGCGCACACGCTCGGGCGCACTGCGTCCCCCTGCATTGACAATAAACCAGCGACGTACGGGTACATCGCTGGTCCTGTAGCTGCCATCTGTCCACAGTACATTGTGGGGTGGGCGGTACAAAAGTGGTTATAGCAAAAGGTATCTAATCGCTTGGTATAACATCATCTTTTATATTTCAACACAACTTTGGTATTTTATTGCGTTTTTGTGCATTAAAATTCATTAAAATGTTTGAAAAATTGCTGCACAAATACCATAAAAATTGCAACACCCAGAATTATATTTTCTATGGCCTCTGCTTAAAAAATATATAATGTGTGAGAGTTCTAAGTAATTTTCTAGGCTTGGTCTTCAAGTGGTTAAATTGTGCATTAAAAGCATCACCATAACAAATGTTCTCACTAAGCATATATCTTAGCGTGTTCAGAAGGTTGTGTTCTATACTAAAAACATTTGGTAGGTCTGGTCCTTTGTGAACAGACTTTAGACACACACCAGCTGCTGTAAAGTGTATTAGTTTTTAGTTACAAAGAAAACCACGGTAATTAGGCTATGATGCAAAATTTGTTTTTCTGAAGTATGTGTCAATGCTAGTGCTGAAGCAATGAAGATAAATAGGTTCACAGTTCTGAAATTATATAAACATATTATACACTACTCAAAAATATTAAAGGAACACTGTTTAATCAGAGTATAGCATCAAGTCAATTAAAATCCTGGGATATTGATCTGGTCAGTTAAGTAGCGGAGTGGGTTGTTAATCAGTTTCAGATGCTTTGCTGTTAATGAAATTAACAACAGGTGCACTAGATGGGCAACACTGAGATGACCCCCAAAACAGGAATGGTTTTACAGGTGGAGGCCACTGACAGTTTTTTACTAGTTTTGCATTTGGCTAGGATCAGTGGAACTACTGATAGCATGCAGTGATACCTGGACCCTACAGAGGTTGCACAGGTAGTCCCACAGCTCCAGGATGACACATCAATATGTGCCATTGCCAGAAGGTTTGCTGTGTCTCCCAGCACAGTCTCAAGAGTATGGAGGAGATTCCTGGAGACAGGAAGTTACTCTAGGAGAGCTGGACAGGGCTGTAGAAGGTCCTTAACCCATCAGCAGGGCAAGTATCTGCTCCTTTGTGCAAGGAGGAACAGGATGAGCACTGCCAGAGTCCTACAAAATGACCTCCAGCAGGCCACTGGTGTGAATGTCTCTGACCTAGCAATCAGAAACAGGCTTCATGAGGGTGGCCTGAGGACCCGATGGCCTCTAGTGGGCCCTGTGCTCACTGCCTGGCACCATGGAGCTCAATTGGCATTTGCCATTGAACACCAGAATTGGCATGTCCTCCACTGGCGCCCTGTGCTTTTCACAGATGAGAGCAGGTTAAACCTGAGCACATGTGACAGACATGAAAAGGTCTGGAGAAGCCATGGAGAATGGTATGCTGCCTGTAACATTGTTCAGCAGAACCGTTTTGGTGCAGGGTCAGTGATGGTCTGTGGATGCATATCCATGGGGGGACAAACAGACCTCTGCAGGCTAAACAATGGCACCCTGACTGCCATTAGGTATTAGGATGAAATCCTTGGACCCATTGTCACACCCTACGCTGGTGCAGTGGGTCCTGGGTTCCTACTGGTGCATGACAATGCCCGGCCTCAGGTGGAAAAAGTAGGCAGGCAGTTCCTGAACGATGAGGGAATTGATACTATTGAATGGCCCCCACGCTTGCCTGACCCAAATCTAACAGAACACCTCTGAGACATCATGGTTTGGTCCATCTGATGCCACCAGGTTTCACATCCGACTGTCCAGGAGCACAGTGATGCCCTTGGCCAGATCTGGGAGGAAATACCCCAGGACACCATCCGTCATTTCATTAGGAGCATGCCCCGACATTGTCAGACATGCATACAAGCACATGGGGGCCATACAAACTACTCAGTACCATTTTGAGTTGCTACAAAGGAATTTTCATCAAAATGGACTAGCCTGCTGAATCATTTTTTAACTTTGATTTTCGGGGTTTCTTTGAATTCAGTCCTCTATAGGTTGATCATTTTCATTTCCATCCAACGATGGGGCATCCTTACATTCCTAACGCATTACCCAGTCCATATCAGTATAGATATTCAGCAAGATATTTTTTCCCCACTAAGATCTGATGTGTTTTCAAAGTGTTCCTTTAATTTTTTTGAGTAGTGTATATGATATATACAGCAGTTTAGTCAAGTTATGGCTGCTTTGTGACCTTTTGATACTTATTAAATCCATGGCATATTGTGTTGCTTAGCCCTTTAATGTTGGCTTGGTTTGCACTTTTTTGCACTGTAGAACATAGATCTTTGATTTTTATTCCTCCCAGTATTGTATATTGGCTACTGGCCGTGGAAAGGTTTAACACTGGATGTAGGTTTGCTTACATTTAATTAATAATGCTGTTGAACTGCTTCCTTTTCTGAAGTGTTTGGAATAATGTTACCCTGCATGATTTTCCATGCTGAGAGAATCTTAATCTACATCCCTCCTTTGACAATTAGCAGTCAACCTTCTGTGTAAATGCAAATTGTTAGACAGGAAACTCACAGATATTTGAAAAAAAACATCCATGAAACGGTGAATAAAGCATTGGATTATTTATAGTCTTTCAAATATCTATGTTGTGAATATCTATCTATCTATCTATCTATCTATCTATCTATATACATATATATATATACACACACACACACCAATTAACTTAATTAACCACAAGCCTACTGGGCACTTATACCCCCTTCCTGCCCAGGCCAATTTCCAGCTTTCAGCGCTGTCACACTTTGAATGACAATTGCGCGGTCATGCAACATTGTACCCATAGAAATTTTTATCATTTTTTTGAGACAGATAGAGCTTTCTTTTGGTGGTATTTAATCACCTCTGGGATTTTTATTTTTTCTTAAACAAACCAAAAACCACTGAAAATTTTTAAAAAAACATTTTTTCTTAGTTTTTGTTATACAGTTTTGTAAATAAGTGATTTTTCTCCTTCACTGATATCCGCTAATGAGGCTGCAGTGATGGGCACTGATAGGCTGCACTGATGGACACTGATAGGTGGCGCTGATGGGCACTGATGAGGAGGCACTGGTAGGTTGCACTGATGGGCATTGACAGGCATCACTGATGGGCACTGAAAGGCAGTACTGATACATGACACTGATAGGTGGCACTGACTGGCACTGATAGGCGGAACTGACTGGCACTGATAGGCGGCACTGGCTGGCACTGATAGGCGGCACTGACTGGCAGCACTGATAGGTGGCACTGATTGGCCTTGATAGGTAGCACTGACTGGCACTGATGGGTGACATTGAAAGGCAGCTCAAATGGGCACTGATATGTGGTATTGATGTGCACTGGTATGCACTGATATGTGGCATTGATGTGACACTGATGGGCACTGGCACTGATGGGCACTGGCACTGATGGGCACTAACAGGTGGCACTTCTGGGGCCACACTGATCATCAGGGCACACTGATCATCAGTGCCCTGATGATCTGTGTACATGTCCCCTCCGCGGAAAGCCGATTACCGGCTCTCCTCTCGAGCTGTCAGCGTGACAGCTTGAGAGGAGAGAAATGCCGATAACCGGCATTTCCGTGTTTACATGTGATCAGCTGTGATTGGACACAGCTGATCACATGACCGAGCCGACATCTTCGTCTCTTTCCGTGATCCGCTGTGTCTGAGGGACACAGCGGACCGGCGATCGACGGCGCTGCGCGCTCCCTGAGCCGCGCATGCGCAGTGAGAATGGTAGGATGTCATATGACGTCCTATCAGAACGAGAGAACCACCTTGTGCCCGTCATTGTACCATGGGGCGGGCGGGAGGTGCTTAAAATCTGGCTTGTTAGCGAGGCTGTGTCTTTTCTAGAACATATTAGAATTGGCTTCATCCAGTGACTCATCAAAATCTTCAGTCCCCCCAACTGCCCCATAGCATATGTAACTGCCCAGGCAAAATAATGTCAAGCTATTTTACAATTGATATGCCTAGGGGGACAGGAGCCATACTAGGGCAGAGGTTCTCTCAGCTCTTCAGGGACAGTCTGAGAGGTGGCTGACCCCGTGGCATGACAGGTAAGGAAAGGTCATGTGTGATATGGTCACTAACCTGCTGTCTACCCCTTGCAAGTGAAGTTCTTACATGTACCCTTCTTGGCATGCATCTTGGTCTGTGAAAGGTCAGAGTGCGCATATACTTCAGGCAGATATACCCAGCACATTTCTTCTGCAACCAGAACCTACTTCCTGATATTTGTAGGACACAGTGCAGCCTTTCACACCCCCCCCCCCCCCAAACACCAGGAGCTTTATGTGGGTATGAGGGATTAAAACTTTGCCATCTGAAAGAGGTGCTGCAGATGAATTACTTAACTAGTTAGAATTGTAGAGTTATAGAATTGTCTTTCCTGGCCAATGTCCCTGGGATACTCTGGTTGAAGAAAGAGAGAGCAGTGGTGGCGATGGGTGCCTAAAATTATGCTTTCAGGTTATTCTTACATTGCTTCTGCTGGCAACAATCAAAGGCAGCATACATCCCAAATGATTAATGACTATATGGAGTCAAGGGCAGTTGTGGACACCGTTAGAATGGACAACTGCCTTGATTAGTGGGTCTTGAGAATGGACAATTGTAAAAAGGTTGCCCAGTTTGTAGTCAAGTTGCTGAGCTTCCCTGCGGCCAGTGTGCTTTCAGAATAGACATTTAGTTGAGCGGGTAGTTTTATGAAAGAGAAATGAATCCACCTGTCTTTAAATTCATCTTACCTATAAAAAAAGAACAAGTTCTGGATCAGAAATGAGCACCAAACTCCTACAGCTGCATTACACTTTAATGTTTGCAGTGTATTATATACCTAATTTTGAATCATTTGTTTTTTCAGCTGCCAAATTTTAAGATATTTTTTTTGCATGGTCTTTTTTGCATTGTGCTTCAAAGTTTATTGATATATTATGCTGTTCCAGAGCTGTCAAGGTATCACACATAATGCTTCCTCAGCTGCTCCTCAGTTTTAAAAATGTATAATGTTTGCTGCAGACTAAATCATGCTCTTTGTCTCCTGTTTTTTGCTATATGCCAGTGCTCTGTCAGTCAAAAACATTTGTGACTAAACCCCTCTTCTTACTTAATATTCTGTTTAGCCTTCCCTACCCTTCTCTTCCCTAGCCTTGGTATTTTCCCTGGTCTAATACAAAAAACACAAGAAGTGTCATGGAACACTTTATAATATTATATATGACCCTGTATAGTGACATTTAATATATCACATATTTGATGGAGACTAAGTAGCTGAGGGGACTTGTCTTGCACCTTCTGCCCAACACTCCAGAAGGTGGAGCCAAAAATGGAGGGCATGGAGTGGCACACGTTCTGAGGCTTGCGGGCCAGGCCAGATTAGTATTGAAGCCAAGTGAATGGAGCTGGAAATCACTGATCACTGAGCAGAAACTGGACAGGAGACAGAGGAAGAGTCCAAGGAACAAGCTGAGGTTAGCAACAACCAGCAGGATAGCAGGATGGGTAGGTAAAGTGAGTTCCAGGAAGCAAGCCGGGCAGCGTGGTATTGGATCAGGAGGCAGGAACAAGTCCCTGATTGTGATTGTGCAATATTCCTGCTTCTTGTCTCTGACATAATCAACTGTAATTTTGATTTCATGTTAAAGCTTCCCCTTTTCTCCCCCTCTTCAAAAATGGTCAATTAAAAAGGCTTATATGCTATGCAGCATGCTTTTTACATATTTCTACCTCTTGTCTCGGATGTGTAGAATGTCCATATATATATTTTTGCCTCTTGTTTTTTACATAATCTTCTATATTTTTTTGTTTCATGTTGAAACCTACCTTCTCTCTCCCTCTTCAAAATCAGCCAATTAAAAATAGGCTTGTGATGTGCAGCATGTTTGGATAACATTTCTGCCTCTTGTCTCTGACAATCCACTGTCATTTTTATTTTAGGTTTTTTAAAAACCTGCCTTGCCAATGATTAGATTGCTGCCTATTCAAGTTGCTTAAATACTCTCCTGCCACTGTGCCATAATTCTGGTTATTGTCTGGGAATTATTTTTTCACAACAATTGCCTCTTCTCTGGAATGTATGTAAGTGGTTTTCAAGTGCTTTTGTGTATTCTGTATCAACAGTACATGTTACACATTAGCAGTATTTCACTAAAAGCAGATTATAAACTATGCTCTGAAAGTTTTTTCTATTGTTTGTCAATTGTCACATAGGTGATCCTGCGGGTGGCTCTGCCCCTTAGATATTTAAGAACTGTCAGGCCAGTGGTGCTGTCAGATGGCCGAAGCCAGCTTCGAGAGCGGAGCCTTTTTTTTTTTTTCAGGGCAGTGACAGCGGCGGGCATCGTGATTGACGTTTGATCTACTTCGGGGGGAATTTTTTTATTTTTCTTCTTTTAATAAAGATCTTGTCAAAGACTGTCTCCTGTCTTTTTTTGCACTACACTTTATTTTGTGAACGGTAGCAGTACCGTGTACTGCATACTCATTCACATGGGGAGGGGCTGGAATCTGAGGGCCCCCTTATTAAGGCTTCCAGATTCCGATAAGCCCCCCACCTGCAGGCCCCCACATCCACCGACCAGGGTTGTGGGAAAGAGGCCCTTGTCCCCATCAACGTGGTAACAAGGTGATTTGGAGGGAGTCCCCCTGCCCCAAAGAACCCTATGTTGAGGGCATGTGGCCTGGTATGGTTCAGGGGGGAGGGTGCTCGCTTGTCCACCCCTTTTCTGACCTGCTGGGCTGCATGCTCAGATAACGGTCTGGTATGGATTTGGAGGGGGACCCCCCCGCCATTAAAAAAAAAATTTAATTGCTGGCAATTCTTTTTTTTTTTACAACCAGCTGTCAATGGGGAACCCCGCTGACAGCTGAAATATTACCTCATGGTTTTCACTAATAAAATATCGCATGACTTGATAAAATAACTCATGCAGTATTTTAGCAGTGTTTTTTTTTAATGAATGCAAACTTTTTTTCAAAAATGCTGTGCGGTATCTTACAGCACACTCGGATGCAGTAAGATACTACTTAGTGAATTGTGCCCAATCTTCTGTAATGCTGCATACAGTATACAATACCTAAGAGGCATCTCTGAAACATGTAAATTAAAGAAATTATGTTTTTTTCCCCTTTTCACCCTTGAAGTCGCAAAAAATGGAGGCCCTCTCTTCACTGAATGTTTTTTTTTTTTTCCTTACATTGGTACATGTTCCCCCTGGAATTGCCCAGCTCCCCATGCCATTTGTGTTTCCCCAGCCTTGAAAAATAGCAAAATTGAATTTCAAGATTTACCTCCATTGACTTCACTGGGGTTTCATTTAAAGTTCTGTTTGCAAATTTTATGATACCTTCAGAGAATCTAAGCCAAGTAGATTTGTCCATCACTACTGTACCTGCTAGTCCTAACTGCTGTTCCAATACCATGGGGCACAATAAGGACGATTTACTAAATGATTTGAGAATATTCACACAATAAAAAGGTATGAAAACTAATTGAAATTATTCAATCATTTTATAAGAAAATCACTGTTTACTTTTTTATTTGCACAACTGGATAATTAAAGTGAATATTCACTCAATTTATTGTGTGAACATTTTCACATTCTTTTGTAAATCAGTCTTAGTATCTCTCATTTAGTTTTTATTTTAACCATAAAATAAAACTTTATTTTAAAAATATATGATAAAAATTATTATTCTTTAATGTCTTCAATCTTTCTAATAACTCTGAAAATGTTTTTTTAGTTATTGTTTATTGGGTGTTTGTGGGGTTGGGTGTTTTTTTTCTATAGGATATCATTAATGGGATGGATGTTTCTGAAACTCTGGTACATTAGTAGAATCAGCAGGAATAAATGTATATTTCCTGCCTTCCATACATAGATCAAAATTTGGTTAATTCAGCAGGGACAGATCACATTTCAATCCATGTATGGTCAGGGTGGTTGTACAGAAGTTGATCTACTGATTGACTTCTATAGAACCAGCCTGTTGGAAAAATGTCCACATGATCACCACAGCTGGCAATAGCTGGCAGTGCTGATCAATGTATTCTGACTAATATATGGGCTGCCTTAGGCAAACTGTCCGATGCTAGTTCCCTTATATCCCAGTTGCCTGGCTACCTTTGATAACAAGCTAATAAGATGTAACATCGTAGCCACACAAAGCACACAATACAGGATGAAGGCGACATCTTTCCCACTTTATGTCAGTAGACTTGAACCCAACAACTAGCAGTATGGGGCAAACAGTCACAATCTAGTCTAGATTTGGGGTTAATTTACTTAAACTGGAGAGTACAAAATCTGGTGCAGCTGTGCATAGTAGCCAAGCAGCTTTCTAACTTCAAAGATATAAGGATTTCAGTGAACGCAATAGAAGCAAGGAAAAAAGATCTGCTAGCACCCTTTGTATCTCAATAGAACTAGTGGAAAAAAGTTGCAGTGCTAATCATAGGATAAATATGTTAAACGTACCCAAACCTAAATATGAATAATGAACATACAACAGAGTGATTAAAAGTGAAATAAGCAAAATGAATGCAATCGCAGTGAAGAGCTCTGATCGGCGCTATGGTGACATATAAATATATGCAATAATCGCACTAAAAGAGCACTAATACTGTATGGTGAATAAAGTGACGCACTAGAGGAACAGTGAAATAGTGGAAAAAAACAGTGATTGTAATGGAATAAATAATCAATGCAAATGAAAATAGAGTTCAAATAATGAATAAATCCAAATGCAT